ATCCTGTAAATTTTTCAAGTGCAGTGCTCGGCCGAAATCATTATAGTAACCATTAAATTTGTCAAACTATAAACAACATTTTTTGTGCAAAGCTTGTTCCATTTGGGCGCTGAAGAACAATTAACAACTAACAACAACAACTAGTAATAAGGACCACTAATTGTCCATCCTACAGTTTTTGTCTACTTATAAAAAACTCAAATTTGTAAATAAGTTAATGCGCACATATGCGCATGTCTCACGCAGACAACGCATCTAGTGCAGCTACTACGCAGTGCGGTTCGCATCTGCGTGTCTGCTTCACTTTTCTTGCCTGCCGCATTTGTCGCTCAGCGTAACGCGTTCCGCATTCTCTGCGTAGGTGACTCATCTAAAACCAACGATTGTTGGTTTTGATCATTGATATAAAACTTATTATTTCGTGCCTGAACATTTGATATTCAAAATTGAAACAGTCTCATATGGCTTCTCTCCAGCCAAGATTCACAACTCAAAACGGTGCATCACTAAGTAGTTATGAAACTGTTAAATAAACTGGAACGGACACACGACATACATTAAAGAATGTTGAGTTACGACACCCTATTCATTTCAACTTCTAATCATTCTCTATGTTTCCGTAACGAAGCCCATTATCTGCGCAGTGTGACCGTCTGAAACCGAAAGTCCACGCGGTAAGAAGGTTACCCAAACTGACGCTAGTGAGATGGATTGGATCAAAAATGTCATTGAAAGCTGGTTATTTTACCGACCAACGCTCAGGAACAATCTGTTTTATGTGGTAGTGGTACCACTCTTTTTTCTCTCCTCGAGCTTTCCAGTCACAATTCGTATATATATAGAAGTACATTTTCTTTTTGTATGATCCCGACCAAGCGCAGTGTCATAATTTTCCCAGAATGTGTTTCAAAGGGAAATAAATGCATCATTACCTTTCTGACAAACAAACGACGTAAATCATATTTTAACGCAGTTTTTATAATCTTCAACCAAATAATCGAATTCCTCGAATTTTCACATGGTCAGAATTCACCGAAGAGCTGATTTTGAGCAACGCACCTTTTTAAGCCTAAGTTTGTCACATTTCGCCGCGAATAGTCGGGATTTTCACTGAATGTGCTTTTTTGGGCTGGTCGCTATTTGTGCACTGCTAGTTCTTCTTTCACCACCCACTTGACGGTCAGTCTACCCGTTACGCTCTCCGCTTAGCGGATTCCGTCGGCCCGTCAGTGTCATCGTAGTCTACGTTTTTTTTCGCTTAGTGGAAACTAGATTTTGAGTTATTTGGGTGGATTTTGGGTAAAACTAGAATGCGCTAATTTTAAGCGCTTTTTTTAGTAGTATCTAGCTGCGGGGAATGTAAGTCTTCGATAAAGTAGTTGGAAAATTTCCCCAAACGCTGTTTCCGGTTCTTACAGCTTAGATGTGATATCTCCTATACCGTAACCGTGTACCGCTCTCTCTCTTCTACTTACCCTTATTCTATTTCCCCCCTCCCAGGTAATTTTTGGAAGTTGATTTGACATGCACTTCGAACCAAACATTTGCAATCGCCCATCTCATTGCAATGTCTGCAGTTACACAGTTTGCTAAAATCCAATTAACCTTTAATGAAGCGACTATCCAGTTCTCGATTGCCTTATCTGTTTTTCTAACTTCTCTCATTGCATTCCATTTAGGAGAACATCTCTTTAAAAGTGCAAATTAGTCACTTAGGATAAATCACAAATCTAATGCCTCTCCATAAGTGTAACAGTAGGAAAGAAACTAAACAACTTGTTCGTTAAATGTGGTTAATGTAATTAGTCTGCACGGTATTGCTAAGTGTATGAATGCTTTTTTGTGTTTAGTGAGGCGCATCGCGACAAGTTGTGCAATTACACAAAAACATTGTGAGGAGACTTAATTCATAGAATCACGTATAGACACTGCCAATTGAGAGCTAATATTTACGAAGTTGAATGATAGAACTATTACTTATTTTTAATGTAGAATGAAATTCAACTCATAATAAATAGGCTTCATCTATATTGATAAGTACACAAACCTTTTTTAGGTTTTTCATTCAAGGTCTGTTCTTTGAGGAAAACCACTATCATTCTCACCTCATCTACCTCCTTCCTCTCCTTTATCCTCTCTATATCTTCCCATCATCTGATCATCTTTTTGCGGCAATAGAAGCTATAAATTACCAGTATAGATTGCGTCTCACTGTCATCACAGATCACTTCGTCTTAATGATCACCGAATACGAAGAACTCGTCCAATTCTCATCATTCTCTGAATTACTGAGTTTTGGTATGCGACGAACAACGGGTTGTTGATGTGTGTTTTCGCTGATTGTTGTCTACCGGTGATTCACTAAGAACTAAAATAAAGAGATTATGGGGGGGGGGGGAAGGATGAGCAGATAAATAATGGGAGAAACGTGATGAATGATGTCTACAAGGCAAAGTAAATGTTGTATGACTGGTTGGATGTAAACGAACGAACGTTTATGAATGTACGAATGAATGAATGAATGATTGAATTAATTAATTAATTAATTAATTAATTAATTAATGACAAATAAATAAATAAATATTTGAATAAATGAACAAGTGAATGATTAAAAAAATGAATAAATGTGTGAAAGAATGAGTGAATAATCAAAGTAGTGAAATGAGGAAACATTGAGTGAGTAAATGTAGGAACAAATAAATAAACGGATGAGGATTTATCAAATGATTGAAACTAATTGTAAATGAATGAATTTGTGAAAAATGAGAAATTGATGATCATAGAAAGACCAGTAAATCGATGAATAATTAAAAATTTATGCTCCACCTTGTTACAGACCTTTCGCATTTATGAGTAAGAACATGGAGTTGAAAACGTGTTTGAATAATGAACAAAAAATAATAATTTAGCAAGAAAAAGGGTAGGTATGAATCGTTAAATGATCGAATAAGAAAATATATAAATTCTCATGACAGGAATTATCAGTATTCCGAGAAAAATAGTTGAATTCTGTTGTGTATGTGCAATAAACTTTAGCAATTATATCAAAAATAGACTAGTTCATGAATTTCGTCTAAATGACCGCTAGAGTGGAGTCTTTTTTTGACCTTTTGATAACTCGAACTGGACCTTCATTTTTGTATTTCTTCAAAGAAAAGGGTCATCTTACCGAGTCTATATACTTTCTCATGGAATTTTGGCCATTTTGCGATGAAAAGATTTTTCTGCGGATCCGCTCAAAGGTTTATTGCTGCACTAAATTGAGAATGTCCTTGATAGCGTTTGCTGCAGGTTTCTTCTTCTCCTGCAAGACGACAACGACGATCGCAATTTAGCTTCACTAGTGCAAACTTCGTAAAGCAATCACATCACGTACGGACTCGATTCGTGCGCATTGGCTAATGAAATCATTAATTTTTCTTTACGAGTCGTTTTTTGCAGTTCTGTCCTTAAGTCTAAAGTTCTACTAACCGTTCTTTGCTTGGAAGGCGGAGATGCACTAAGAACGTGGAAATGAAAGGGGTGGGGAAAGAAGAGAAGAGATTTTTTTATCCTAGTTGATGTCGTTATGTGAAGTGAAGTTGAAGAATTCCAGAACTTTCTAATAATCGTGATCGTTGGGGTCTCAGTTTGACAGACATTTTAATCATAATCTGCGTAATTTATGGTGTAAACCATATGTTACACTGTACCCAAGCTCCGCCCATTTCGGTTTAGTTCACTCATTCAATACATCTTCATGCATGCTCACATGCTGGGGTTACCCTGAAGTTACCCAAGGGCTTACCGCTCTTACCGACGGCATACAAGCTACATGACGATAATGTGATGTTTGATGTCGCTGCTCATATTGTTTGTTTGTTCCACACTCAGCTGCTATTTATTTGTTTGTTTACTCAACAACCGACAATAGAAAAGTTTGGCATAACTTCTAAAGGTTTCCCCGGATGGTGTATTCCCAAGTTGAACAGTATTGTTGGATAGTCGTCATTCCATGGTTGGCCCAAGTTACATAAAGGAGATTGGTCGTAGGTGACTGGTCGTAGGTGACTTTTTGGATCTTCTTTCTTGTGAAAAATTACCCTAAAAATTTTGTAAAGCTTAGCTATTATGCCTTACCTGCTGCCAAATCTTCCATAGCCATTTCCCCTCAATTGGGGAGTCTGAAGTTCAACTTGTTGCTTTGCTTGCCCCTATACTACATTGCATAGGCTGCATTGGCCCTATAATCTGTTACCGTACTCCTCCCCCCGCATTCGATTTGCAGCATCATAGATCTTCTTGACAAAGCCGAATCCTTCTCACACGCTAAACCAAAGATCAGTAATGATCGATGGTCCTATAGCGAAAAAGTGCAAAAAATTTAGTGCGCGGATCTGCAATTTCACCAATCAGGCTAAAGAAGTTCCTAATTTGTCGCTAAATCCGCTATAGTGCATAGGAACACGAAATTTTTCAGTTTTTGGTGGCAATACTTTTGTAGCGAGTGATAGGAGATGATTTCCCAAGCTTTAAAATTTAGATTCTACTTTTGTAATAATTGTAGTTCATGTCTCAAAACTATAAATCTAGTCTTAACTCCAGCTTTTTCTTCGTTCGAAAATCATAGCTATTTCAAAATGTTTGGCTATCACCTATAATTTAGCCTAACGGGTTTCATAGAATTTGAGATTCTAGTTGAAGATTATGCCAAACTTTGCCTCTTTTCCAAAAATGCATGTGAGATTCTATATCATGAAATGCTCATTGCTGAAGAAGTTTCTCGAACTAGGCAGCAATTTTTTAATAGATCATAGTGAATTATGTCATAACACTCAGAAATGGGAGGTTCACAATTTTCGTCATTTTAAGACATAATAATTTACCCAAAAAATTCTACTTCTCTCGCTTTCCTGAACTGAGTTCGTTTTCTCTTGCACTACCACTACGAAGTGTTTTTGTGTTTCGTCACAGTGTTGTGTGCAATCACGTACTCTTCACTGATCAAGGGCTTTCATTTTAGTTCACAGATGGTTACGACGCGGTCGATACGAAAGGCGGGCGAGTTTCTCTCAAATTCTGTTCGCCGTACGTTTTCTACCAAGAAATGGGAACACAAGGAACAACTACATTCTTTGACTGAAACGGTAGGTTTTGAGAAGATTAGGGTATCTGAACTTTTCAATGCCAAAGATCGAAAATCGAGACATCAAATATTCAAGAGGGCTTCCCCGAAGTATGAATGGGTTGTTTAAATCAACATTTCGATAACCTGTCCCAAGTGATTACGATGATATTAAATCACTTCGCCAAACGATATCGACCTTCAGCCTTTGTCCGGAACACTAATTAACCTTTCTCTCGAAATATGAGAGAGATAAACATAATACTTTACAGTTGAAGGAATTCGTCTGCTAGGCGGAGAATGGGGGGGGGGGAGAGATATTGGTTCCGGCTTGGCTAATCTAAAAAGCAGTATGTATAAAAGTGAAGCGAATGCCTACTACGGAGATAAAAATTGAGCCTACCTCAACTTTTCCGAAATTTTGATTTTTTGGGAGAATGCAGTAGAAGTACTCAAAGAAAATTCCTTGTCATTACTAAAGGGTAATGTTAAACGTAATTGTTTATAAAGATCTATCATACCCTTCACTTGTTTGGTATGATCTTTACGGACAAATATATGTACACATAATTTGATTGTAAGGGCATAAGTAGGATTCATATTTTTCGTAGCACATTCCTTTAGCGCCGCTGCCTATTCCTACTTACTTTCTTCTTTGTTTTTCTTAACTGATCTCTTTTCAGAATCGTTTCTTCCTGAAGAAAGTCCGATGGCAGATATCTATACTTGCTCATATAGGATTTGCAATTTCATTTGGTATCCGATCAAACTTTGGCGTTGCCAAGAATCGAATGACCAAGAATTTTACGGATGCCTGGGGAGAAAATCATGTAAGTTCGTCTGATACCTGCGATTTTTAGAGTTTTCAAGAAGCTCTCGTGTCCGGAAAGACACTTCTAATGAACTGATCATCGAAAAATCGTAGATCCGAGATCTGTCCGCATGATTCTCATGTGATGTCCATAGCGATTTCTATCGTTCATTGGAGTCATCGTCCTTGATGGATCCGCCGATAATCATATCACCCCATGTAGTTTGAACAGGTTTCAAGCACATTTCTGATGAGAATGGGAACTTCGTATAGCCCCGTGATCACTCCTTCAAAAGTCATACAGTCTTACGACTGGATATCACATTGGATCGCTGGATTGCCTTGCTCATAGAGTGCATCGTTTTATTGTAAAGGGATTTGGCTTCTATTTCCTCAATTGGTTGGATGAAAAGGGATACACGCAGAATATTGAAGAACAGATTGAGATAACCAGTTTGACACTGCCACGCGCCAGCTTTTGGCTTGAAAGCTATTATATGCCTGAGCAACCGTCTCTCTCCCGTACCGTAACTAGAACACTGATAGATTCGTTTGAGGGTACGGTACTGGCGAAAGTTCGCAAATATATTTATTAAAATGAACGAATAATGAGTCTACTATGTGCTACTGTTTGTACAATGACAGTCAATATTTTAACAATTTTTTACAGAAACTTTCGCTCAAAGTTGTGCGTGTGCCAGCGCCGTGCTAGCGCCGTGCCAGCACCTGCTCAAATGCGCCAGCTTTGATCCATCGGTTGGCAAGGCGCTCACGGCGTTGATACAGGCAACTCTGAACGCAGCTAAGAAAATGCAACATTTGAAACACTGCTTGAAAGTGAAAAGGAATCCACTTCATCAGAGAAATTAGGCAGTATCGAAGAAAAATTTTCTCAACCAAAAGCCCCTCAGGATTTGTGTAGTTGATAAAAAGCAGGCATTTTACATTTTCTAATCTTATGCAACAACAAAATCTTGCATTTCAGGAACCAGAATTCAACTGGTCACCGATAGAAGTGGGATGGTTGGAGAGCTCGTTTTTCTACGGTTATGCGATTTCACAAGTTCCAGCTGGCATCATTGCCGCTAAGGTCGCTCCGAATAAGTGCGTAAAATTGAGCCCGGTTTATATGCCAGCCAGTTCATTCCAAGTTTCCACGAAAAAATGTGATATTCTCAGGCTCTTCTGCATTGGTGTGTTTATCGCCAGTGTTTTGAACCTGCTCATTTCGTTTTCTTTCCAATATCATCCTCTCACTGATGTGGCGGTCATGGTTATGATGGGTATTCAAGGATTGGCTTTGGTTAGTGATATTTTGCTGCCGTTGTATTGTTGGCTGTATTTTTGTAAATCAAATTTCCCATTTAGGGTGTGATCTACCCTGCTATGCACGGTGTCTGGCGCTACTGGGCTCCACCTCTGGAACGCTCAAAACTGGCGACAACCACATTCTGTGGGAGTTATGTCGGTGTCATGATCGGGCTCCCGCTTAACGGCTTTTTGATCTATTTCTCTTGGTCGACACCATTTTATGCATTCGGTAAATAGTCACTACAGAATGTAGAAAAATCATAAACCATCTGTTCAAAACTTTTCAGGAATCGCTGGAGTACTATGGTCGATTTTATGGTGCATGGTTTCTGCGCGATCGCCAGCTGAACATCATTACATCACTGAAGAAGAACGAACTTATATCACGGAAAAAGTTGGAAAAGTTGCCACTGGAAACATGACGGTGCGGTCTCCAATTTTCAAAAATTGACAAAATTCTTCAAACTTCTTTTTTTTAGCTCACGACGTTACCATGGAAATCCATAATGTTTTCGCTACCTGTTTGGGCAATCATCGTCTGTAACTTCTGTCGATCATGGACATTTTTCTATCTTATGAATAATCAACTTACATACATGAAGGATGTGCTTCATCTGGAAATTAAACACGTATGTTGCTCAAGCTGTGTTCAGAATTACCTCTGTGCCAGTGCCGTGCTAACGCGGCGCCAGTGCCGCGCCATTACCGTGCCAGCGCGTACGCGAATGCGTCCTATACTGACCGATCAATGGCGCTAGCACAGGCGACTCTGATGCTCATCGCACTCGCCCACCCCCTCATTAGCTAATTTTTCTGTCTTTAGGGTGGATTGATTTCTGCTTTGCCACAACTTACGATGACGATTGTGGTGCTATCATCGGGTCAAATGGCAGATTGGCTGAGAGCAACTGGTAAAATGAATACAGGCCCAGTTAGGAAGATGTTCAATACGTTAGGTAAGTTGAAAATTCGTTATTCATAAAAATTCTCATTTCGGAAAATTTCAAAAATGCATTCCTAATCTTTCCTAGGATTCGGAGGAGAAGCCATCTTCCTCGCCTTGCTCGCATTCATCCACGACCCGACTCTTGCCGTCACCTGCTTAGTCATCGCAGCGGCACTTAGCGGAATGAGCATAGCAGGTAAATCATTTCTACCCCCCCCCCCCACCCTCCCACAAAAAAATCTAAATTTATATGCGTCAGGCTTCAATGTCAACCACTTCGACATTGCTCCTCGTTATGCCTCCATTCTTATGGGGCTATCAAACGGTATTGGCGCATTGGCTGGTATGCAAAGCTACATCACCCAACATCTTACAGCTAATGTATGTTTTGAATCCAAGTAGCAAGTAGTGCAGCTAAAAGACCTGTTTGCAGGATCCAAGCGGCTGGAAATATTGTTTCCTTCTTGCAATGTGCATCGACATTTTCGGCATTGCATTCTTTTTGATCTTTGGTAAAGGAGAAATTCAGGTGAGTAATATCTTAGAAACTTTTGTTCTGATGCCGGGTGATGCTTTGAAACTTTCGTGGGGCTAAGCGAAGCTGCCGCTGCGTCCAGATATGCCTGTGTTAGCGTCGTTTCGGCTCCGTGCCAGCTCCTTGTCAGCGCCGTGCCGAGATTGTGCCAGCAGAGGTCGATCGATCAATAGGCACGTTCAAATAGGCTGTGGCGCAGCGCTAGCAAGGTGCTGGAACGTCGCTGTTTTGATGGTTCAGGTCCTTCGGAAATTTGGTTACTCTTATTTGCTCTGCGCAAGTTCCGAAAAAAAAACCCTAAAAATCATTTACTGATGTATTTGTGCAAAGAATGATCGTTGATTATTATAGGACTGGGCAAAAGAGCCAGAACCTGAGGAGACCATGGGCGAATTTGTCAGGCGAATTTGTGAGTCATTATCCATTTTTACGTATTTTCGGTCTTTTTGTTTTCGGTTTTCACTAGATACCGTAAACAATAAAAATGATCACCTCTTCTAAGTATAAATTTCTGCGTAGCTGTGTTCGTTCTGTAAATTTACTGAACACAGAGGAAAAACGCGTTTTGTAATGAATAAATTGTGCACTGCCTTGTTCTCTTCCTCCCTCTAGTTTCTTAGTAATAAATAAATCTAATTATGATTCAGTGAAACGAGTATATAAATTCTACAATTTCAGCAACGTTGGTGCGTAACATGTCGTCAAGAAGGAGGGCAAAAGGCAAGGAAACAGATATAAATTATGCAAGGTAAGCGGATTTGTTGGCAGGCGAATGATTTGACGAGACATTTCCTAAGAGATAAAAAAATACACTAATTCATGATTTTTCAGAATGGAGGAAGAGCGCAATAACTCCTCTGAGATGAAGCCTCAGAAACAGCTAACAGACAACGACGAAAAGGATCCGCCGAAGATAGATACTAGTGAAATTAGTAAAATACCTGACAGGCCCGAAGTCTAATACATTTGGGCTATATTGGACATTTTCCAGCATAGCATCTGCCTGTGGCAGATAACTGCGGAAAACAATCAGAGTCGATATAAAATGGTGTTATAAATCTTCAGCTGTAATAACAGCTAAGCTGTGTGACGTGTGCGTGCGTCGACTCGTATGAGCAGATTAATAATCGTACCCGCGGCGAAAAATGTGCTTATGAGCATCGACTCAAAGGCGTCGCACGCGCCGCATAGCCCGCATCGTAGCTGTTGTTACGACTTCGATATCAAACATGATTCTGTCTGCACATTTATTTTCTCATCATATGAACCGGGTACTGTTATTCCCAATTCTTTCCAAAATAGTCTGCTCTGGCTATGCTCCTTCACTTTTGTACAGATATGATATTAGTTTTTTTTCTTAATTTTTTGACATGAGTGCGATTTGCCGATCCGACACCAGTTCGTTTACGAACTGAAGCATTTTTGATGTATACATCAATTTTGTACCGTTTTCATCCTTTTTGTTAGGAGACGGTGTGTCGTTACAATGTTCATCATTGTTGTTAATATGTTAATATGTACTTGATGTTTTATTTCTAGAGACTAAGAAAGAGCTTATTTTGTGCATATTAGCGTTGTCAATGATCTAAGCGACTGCTACTAGTCCGCTTAGGCATTGCGTTATACGCTTCGGATTGAAGATTCATGCTGAATCCTATTATCACTGACATGCTTATTGTTTTGCCTTCTTCGTTGTCAGAGATTTATTGAGTGATTATGGTATGAAAGCAATGTATCTTTGACGTGCCGTGGCCTTCACGGCTAGAATTGCATAAAGTTTACAAATACGTCGTATGGTATTATGCTTTGGATCATACAGCAACTTTTCCAAATCGACAGGTTTCGCGGGTATATGACAAGGCCATGAATTCAACTGTGTTCGCTGGCGAGATTTTTTCCGTTTTTGAGCAAAAAATCCAGGCACAGGTGCATCTCATAACATACTAGCTGGGTTATCCGGCTCCGCCGGGCCCTGTCAAAACACTACGATAAAGTCCCCATCCCTATCCTTGTACAACTTTTTCTGTGCCCACTTCTACATGCCAATTCTCTGTTATCTCTGTGTTAGTAATCAGCATGCTCGATTACCCCCCTCCCTGTGCCACTCCCTGCCCCGTAACTCAAACTTTGCAAAAAATCGATAAAATCGACAGAAGTAACTGATTATTCTGAAAACTAGTACTGTATTCGTAATCAGCATGCTCGATCACCTCCCTATGCCAATCCCAGCCCTGCAGGTCAAAATTTGCAAAATCGACAAAAAACGATAAAATCAATATCGATCGATGACGAAAAGTAGCCTATGACACGCCCCACCCCGAATATATGTGTGCAAAGTTTGGTCCGGATCGGTTCATAAATATAAATTTCTAATTGAAACATACGTACATACAGACCTACAGACAGACATACAAACAGACTTCAGTTTTGTATAGATTCCAACGATTACAGCTTGTGTCAATCACTTGCTTCTTTTTCATTCGTGCAGTCGCCACGCCAAAGCTGCGCGTTACTTTCGCGCGCGTATGGATGAGCGTTCAACATAGCCTTAACGATCGCAGGTCGTGTTCAAGGGCTTCGCGTTGCGTTATTCCTGCGCAAAAGGAGAATGGAGCAATTGACATAGTTCGTACCTTAGGAAAATCCTCTTCATCTGGCAGAAGAACTCAATTTAGGAGCATGTATCATGGAAAAACCTTATTCCTGTTCCTAGAAATGAGGGCATCGAGCAAGCTTTGCCTGGGGGAAAGACAAAGCTTAGGGGCTTTTGGCAAAAAGGAATTTTCGTAAAGAACTCTATTTCACAAAAAAATTTTCGCTCATTTTGACAAAAAACTTTTTTGGGGCATGTAATTCGGAGAAACACTACATCTGCCCAAAGAAGAAAAAGCTAGGCTTGATTCTTTTGGAAAAAACATTTACGAGTTAGGGGCTTTTTGCAAAAAGACATTCTTGCAATAACACAGCTGTTTCGAAGAAAAATTCATTTGGTTTGGCAAAAAATCTGTCTTGGAAGCATGTAGTCTTGCTAATTTTGGCCTGGCGGAAGGAACTGAGGGCTTTTGGCAAAAAGAAATTTTCGCAAAAAACGCTTTAATTTCTTAGAAAGTTACTCAGTCTGACAAAAATCCCCTTTTAGGAGCATGTAATCTAGAAAAGCCCTACTTTTGCCCCTAAAAAGCAGTGAGCGAGTCTTGGTCTCTTTGGGAAAACATACGGATAAGCAGAAAGACATTTTCGCAAAGAATGCCTCCCTTTCACAAAAATTCCCACTTGTAACGAAAACTTTACCTCTAACAAGGAAAATGTCAGAAGCAGAGGTTTTTTGGCATGAGATAGTTATCGTCTAAAGCAATTTAGAACGATATTTGCAATACACCCTTCCTTAGCTGCAGCACGAATCGGAAGTTATCAATGTTGGTTTGCTGGAAATTCTCAACTCGAATCTATTGTATCTGGGCTTGAACATAAATGAGATAATTTATTAATGGTTAATCCAGTTCATTCTACTCCATCTTATATATAAAGCTGAATATCTGTCTGTCTGTCTGTCTGTCTGTCTGTCTGTCTGTCTGTCTGTCTGTCTGTCTGTCTGTCTGTCTGTCTGTCTGTCTGTCTGTCTGTCTGTCTGTCTGTCTGTCTGTCTGTCTGTCTGTCTGTCTGTCTGTCTGTCTGTCTGTCTGTCTGTCTGTCTGTCTGTCTGTCTGTCTGTCTGTCTGTCTGTCTGTCTGTCTGTCTGTCTGTCTGTCTGTCTGTCTGTCTGTCTGTCTGTCTGTCTGTCTGTCTGTCTGTCTGTCTGTCTGTCTGTCTGTCTGTCTGTCTGTCTGTCTGTCTGTCTGTCTGTCTGTCTGTCTGTCTGTCTGTCTGTCTGTCTGTCTGTCTGTCTGTCTGTCTGTCTGTCTGTCTGTCTGTCTGTCTGTCTGTCTGTCTGTCTGTCTGTCTGTCTGTCTGTCTGTCTGTCTGTCTGTCTGTCTGTCTGTCTGTCTGTCTGTCTGTCTGTCTGTCTGTCTGTCTGTCTGTCTGTCTGTCTGTCTGTCTGTCTGTCTGTCTGTCTGTCTGTCTGTCTGTCTGTCTGTCTGTCTGTCTGTCTGTCTGTCTGTCTGTCTGTCTGTCTGTCTGTCTGTCTGTCTGTCTGTCTGTCTGTCTGTCTGTCTGTCTGTCTGTCTGTCTGTCTGTCTGTCTGTCTGTCTGTCTGTCTGTCTGTCTGTCTGTCTGTCTGTCTGTCTGTCTGTCTGTCTGTCTGTCTGTCTGTCTGTCTGTCTGTCTGTCTGTCTGTCTGTCTGTCTGTCTGTCTGTCTGTCTGTCTGTCTGTCTGTCTGTCTGTCTGTCTGTCTGTCTGTCTGTCTGTCTGTCTGTCTGTCTGTCTGTCTGTCTGTCTGTCTGTCTGTCTGTCTGTCTGTCTGTCTGTCTGTCTGTCTGTCTGTCTGTCTGTCTGTCTGTCTGTCTGTCTGTCTGTCTGTCTGTCTGTCTGTCTGTCTGTCTGTCTGTCTGTCTGTCTGTCTGTCTGTCTGTCTGTCTGTCTGTCTGTCTGTCTGTCTGTCTGTCTGTCTGTCTGTCTGTCTGTCTGTCTGTCTGTCTGTCTGTCTGTCTGTCTGTCTGTCTGTCTGTCTGTCTGTCTGTCTGTCTGTCTGTCTGTCTGTCTGTCTGTCTGTCTGTCTGTCTGTCTGTCTGTCTGTCTGTCTGTCTGTCTGTCTGTCTGTCTGTCTGTCTGTCTGTCTGTCTGTCTGTCTGTCTGTCTGTCTGTCTGTCTGTCTGTCTGTCTGTCTGTCTGTCTGTCTGTCTGTCTGTCTGTCTGTCTGTCTGTCTGTCTGTCTGTCTGTCTGTCTGTCTGTCTGTCTGTCTGTCTGTCTGTCTGTCTGTCTGTCTGTCTGTCTGTCTGTCTGTCTGTCTGTCTGTCTGTCTGTCTGTCTGTCTGTCTGTCTGTCTGTCTGTCTGTCTGTCTGTCTGTCTGTCTGTCTGTCTGTCTGTCTGTCTGTCTGTCTGTCTGTCTGTCTGTCTGTCTGTCTGTCTGTCTGTCTGTCTGTCTGTCTGTCTGTCTGTCTGTCTGTCTGTCTGTCTGTCTGTCTGTCTGTCTGTCTGTCTGTCTGTCTGTCTGTCTGTCTGTCTGTCTGTCTGTCTGTCTGTCTGTCTGTCTGTCTGTCTGTCTGTCTGTCTGTCTGTCTGTCTGTCTGTCTGTCTGTCTGTCTGTCTGTCTGTCTGTCTGTCTGTCTGTCTGTCTGTCTGTCTGTCTGTCTGTCTGTCTGTCTGTCTGTCTGTCTGTCTGTCTGTCTGTCTGTCTGTCTGTCTGTCTGTCTGTCTGTCTGTCTGTCTGTCTGTCTGTCTGTCTGTCTGTCTGTCTGTCTGTCTGTCTGTCTGTCTGTCTGTCTGTCTGTCTGTCTGTCTGTCTGTCTGTCTGTCTGTCTGTCTGTCTGTCTGTCTGTCTGTCTGTCTGTCTGTCTGTCTGTCTGTCTGTCTGTCTGTCTGTCTGTCTGTCTGTCTGTCTGTCTGTCTGTCTGTCTGTCTGTCTGTCTGTCTGTCTGTCTGTCTGTCTGTCTGTCTGTCTGTCTGTAAGTATGTTCCGAATAGAAAATTCCATTTCTTAACCGATCCGAACCAAACTTGGCACACATACATTTCGGGCCCCGGCGGGTGTCACAGTCCACTTTTCGTCATTGATTGATGTCGATTTTATCGATTTTTTTGCAAAGTTTGAGCTACGGGGCTGAGATTTGGCACAGGGGGGTAATCGAGCATGCTGATCACCCCCGTGGGGGTGATCAGCATGCTCGATTACACCCCCTGCCAAATTCCAGCCCCTTAGCTCAAATTTTGCAAGAAATCGATAAAATCGACATCAATCAATGACGAAAAGTGGACTGTGACACCCGCCGGGGCCCGAAGTGTATGTGTGCCAAGTTTGGTTCGGATCGGTTAAGAAATGGAATTTTCTATTCGGAACATACGGCGGAGCCGGGCATGCCAGCTAGTTCTCAATATTATGCTGCAATGCTTGAAGAAGCATTTGACATACCAGGATTGAATTTCAAAACTCACGAGAGCTACTAGTGTTCAACAGAAAGCAAGAAACTGCGCTCAACTCTTGCGCAGAAAGTCGCGCATGGAAATGCTGGTTTATGTCGTTGAATTGATGTTCAAGTCTGGCGAGTTGACAGCCCTTCTAGTAGTGTCATGACAACCAGAATGATGTGTAATTTTGCAAGGTTTTGTCGAATTTCGGAGATCTACGACAAGAGCCAAATGCCCTGCCGTTTCCGGTCTTTCTCCTCTGCTCGCCTGCGTCTCCGCGCGTCCCGCGCTATTTCGCTGCTTCAAAAGCGAGGCACGGAGCATTTGGCTCTCGTATCCCTTTTCGCGTCGTTCTAAACTTACTTCGAGCAAACTGTATATTGGAGCTCTTGAACTCTACTTTCACACTGATAGCGTCGCAAAACTCATTTTTTATTAAACGAGAAATCGGCAAAAACCGTGTTTTTGAGAATCTCTTGCTTCTTCTCCAGTCTAGCTCTTTTCAAGCGGGTTTTTCATCGATAGATCTCGTCTTTGTTCATAATTAGACGTCGCAAGCCAACTTTTTCCACTGT